GCGGACAATGAGTGTCAATACAAACACTTGAAGTGGTATTGCATTTGACTGTCATTTCATGCAAATTATACTCAATTTATGTCAATTTGACTCCAATTAAGGCTTTTGAGTGGAAGTCATGATTACAGCAATTGTGGCACAAATGAGGAGACAATCCATTTGTTTGGCTTTCCATTCAATGGCCAACAATTGACGGCTCAAGACATCAATGTCTTGTTTTCATTTGCAAAGTGAGTGTTGAATGGTTTGACTTTTGCTTTGAATTCATGTCTTGTAACCCATCAGGAAGTGCTTCAATGAGTTGAGATGCGACTCAATGGCCACCACTGTCTGCAACGGCAATATCTTGTGCTCTGATTACCGCCAAATCCGGCTTCAAATGACATGTTTTCTCGGTTTTGTGAGAAGACGTGTGTTTGAGGTCTGCCTTCAAGACAAGCAAATGGTGACAAACAGTGATAACTCGTTGTGTGTATTAGTTATGAAGCAAATGAAATCATTTCTATTATTTGTGAACCGATTAGCGGACAATGAGTGTCAATACAAACACTTGAAGTGGTATTGCATTTGACTGTCATTTCATGCAAATTATACTCAATTTATGTCAATTTGACTCCAATTAAGGCTTTTGAGTGGAAGTCATGATTACAACAATTGTGGCACAAATGAGGAGACAATCCATTTGTTTGGCTTTCCATTCAATGGCCAACAATTGACGGCTCAAGACATCAATGTCTTGTTTTCATTGGCAAAGTGAGTGTTGAATGGTTTGACTTTTGCTTTGAATTCATGTCTTGTAACCCATCAGGAAGTGCTTCAATGAGTTGAGATGCGACTCAATGGCCACCACTGTCTGCAACGGCAATATCTTGGGCTCTGATTACCGCCAAATCCGGCTTAAAATGACATGTTTTCTTCGTTTTGTGAGAAGACGTGTGTTTGAGGTCTGCCTTCAAGACAAGCAAATGGTGACAAACAGTGATAACTCGTTGTGTGTATTAGTTATGAAGCAAATGAAATCATTTCTATTATTTGTGAACCGATTGTCGCGATTGAGTCCACAAGTGATTCATTTGGCAGTTAGTAGTGAACCAAACACTTCAATCTACAATCACTTCCACTGTATGCTTGACATTTGGTGGACAGCCATAGAAATGACTTATATGTTGGACCAAAACAATAAAATTCATTTCAATGACTTGACATTCATTAGAGAGGAGTTCCCATCGACTCAGTTATGCCGTCAAACCATTCGTTTGGTTTTATTTGATTTAATTGTTTTGTCGATTAATCGCTTTAATCATTGCAAGCAATCACTTGAATTGGTATCGCTGTCGGTGTTTGACTGTTTATGTGTCCAAAACATGTTTGTCCTCATCAGACACATGTCCAGTGCTATCAATGGTTCCCAAAGTAATGATCACTTTTTTGAACTAATGTTTTCCACATTAAACTCAACCATAAATTCAAGTAAAAGCGAAACACTCTCTATAAAGGATTTTAAGATCGTTTGTGTCGACAATAATTTGTGTGAAAAACCTTTACTACACTTCATATGGTTTGTCACAAATATTATGCAAACATTTAGTTATGATATTAGCGGACAATTTAGTGAACAATCTGTTTGTGAGACTATTCCATCGGTTCTGCTCAAGAGATTAACACAACTCTTCAAACAAAATGACTACACTATGAATGACTCGGAGATCTCTGCCATCATTTTGTTTTGTCTCAAATGCAACACACATTGGAAGCCAAACACTGATCTTCTCTTACCATTTGTTGAGTTCTTTCTCAAGAATCTCAACAAATCTTATTCAAAGACAAATGTCGAAGAACTGGCAATTATTCCCAAATCCAGTGCCAAATGGTGTCAAATGATTAATCAGATTTCAGTATTCAATGAATGTAAGGACTGTTATGTGGACAACAGTTTTAATCTGTTTTTAACTCTAATGAGTGAACAGTTGTCATCGATTTTCAAGACATGTGACCCTAAGTATAGACTAATAAATTGGCAAAAATTTAAGGGAAAGTTTCTGTCAAACCTTCAGCCAAAAAAGTTGGACAAAATGAGTGAAATCGGAATTTTTAATTTATTTTCATTTTATTTGGTTTTAATTAACTCAAGAGAAGAGATTTGGAGTGATATTATGGACAAAATATTGGAGACAATGACTGAGTTTCAGAATTCTCCCAATAATTTGCATCTCATTATGAAATTCATGTTTACAGCCATTCACTTGAAACCCGTGTCTATAAGTGATGAGAAAATCACAAGTTTTGTGGTCAAGTTATTCAATAATATATGCGATGAAAAGATCAAGAATTTGACCGCAGATTCACTCAACACTCGATTCATTGATTTAATGTTCATTTATTTCAATGAATTGAATGGTTTGGTTAAAAGCAGGCTATACACAAAACTACATTATGATAAGCTCTTGAGCATTAAATTTACGACATTTTCATGTTTAAAACGTGACGACCAGTTATTTGTAATGAGTTTCATAAGTGATCTGTTGACACAAATCAACCAAACATTTGCAGTTCAAGACTTGCAAGAAATTGATCCCAATCTGATGCTTATAATTAACACCTGTTTTGATACTGTTGTGCCGTATATTAAGCAGGAAGTGGTCAACAAAAATGATAATAAATGTTTGGTTCAAATAGCATTTAATTTGACAAAACTTTCGGATTCAATGTAAGTCTTATTTGAATATCATATTACGGGAGATGCAATTGTAAAATCATTTTATTTTATTGTCAGATCTCAAACTAATAGGAACACAAAGTTCTCGATTATTTTCAATGAATTTCTAAACATTTCAAGAAATAATACCCAATTTTTATCTAATTATTTGTCACTTGTGGTGGAAAACGCGAAACTAATCCAATGCATAAAGAGAGAGCCCTCTAATATAAGCTCTACATTAGTGAGCATTTGGTGTCGCCTTTTGGTCAGTGCCGACATCGACGACACTTCCATCGATTCCCTGTCCTATAATCTATCGCTTATTATTGACGATTTGAGATATGGAGAGGCAATGGATTTGTCCACAAACTCTTTGCATATTTTTATCAAATTTGTCACTAATTTGAACCAAAAGTATTTAAACAGTGATATCAACGATCGCATGTCTGCCATTCAAAGGGCTCACAAATATTTCAATGAAATGATTATAACTTGCGATTCAATTCTAAGACAAAATACCATTTCTTTGCCTTTGATAACAAGAATTTATGCATTGATTTCAAGTTTGCTGTCAATTGGATCACATCTGTTGTACATTCCTTTTAAACCCGACTGTCTTTTACCTAAAATCATCGAAACAGTAGTATTGCCGACACATCTCTCACCTGAACTCAAATCACAATTTAACCCAATCCTACAAAAAGCATTTCCATTCGTTAGTATTCATATTCATCATGTAATCATTTTATTGAATATATACTGTAATTATTTAAATTATTTTCAACAGTTTTTTGAAGGTTTATCTAAACTTCAATACAATGGGAACCAATATCTTGAACGTCAAATTCGGCGAATCATTTCATATTATTTACCACTATTTGTGAATCGTTTGAATTCATTTCAATTCTTAATGGTTTGTCTTTTATCGTATATGTCCTCTAGTTTTAACATTATTCTCAATTCGTTACAGAATTGTTTCAAACAGAGGAATATTTACGACGATTGGTCCAAATGTTTGTTTGAAACTGTGATAACAGTGTGTTTGTCCAAAACTGAGTCGAGTCTCTCATCAGCACTCATTCAATTTATTGATGATTTTTCTCAATCAGATTTAACTGATGAGCAGTTGATTAAAATTTTAAGTCAAACGCTCGAAAAAGTATTAACGGCTGATAACAGGACTAAAGAGAGTTTATATGTAGTCATCGCTACTATTCTGAAGATATTTACAGCAAAAAACAATGATAAGTAAGTCATCATTAATACTGATAGACTGGTTTGGATGCGAAATAACGGAGTATTGTTTAACAGGAAACTGATGGACACCGTGTTGACGGAGTTTATAGAAAGCAATCTCTGCAACAGATCACTAGTGAAGCGACTTTTCGAAATAATGAAGTTTGTGAGCAAATGCTGCCCTCAACTGTTCCACGACATCGTCGGTCAACTCAATCGAACCATTCAATCGGTCGAAACCAAGAGGAACACTGGAACCGATTTCATACTCAGGTTTTGTCTTCAAGTTTTCGCTTTTATGTTTTGTTCACAACTTACCTATTGTTTGATATTTTCAGAAATCATATGAAAGAGTTTGGAAATCAAGGGCTCAATACTTGTTGAAGTAATAATATTCGGTTATATTCTATCGATAGGCTATTTGTATAATTTAAATTCAGACAAACTTACAATTACGGTACAGTAGTTAAAAAGTTTTTGCGCCAAACTGTTTGAAAATTATGGAAAATATTTATTTCATAAAAGATGTCAATTAATAAATAATTTTTTCATCTCATTTTAAGTGAATTTGTTTTAATTGATTAAGTTTTTATGAGAATTCTTATGAAGATCTTATTAAAGTAATTGCAAAATAAAGAAATTAAATGTAAGTTAATTAAATAAATACAATTGAAAATAACGTAATTAGTGGTCACTTATAGACCGCATTGTTTACCAAATGCTGTATTGAATGCAAACAATACTTTCCACAATTGATTGAATGTTTCATTGATTTAATTGTTAATCATTTTATTCATTTAAATACCGTTGAAATTCAATTGACTATAGTCTATGGTTTAATATCTACAACCGTGGTAAGTCACCAATGTGTTATCTTAATCTAACCCACCATTTGATTACAACTTCTTGGAAAACGTGTCATTTGTCATTACGTAATGAAAATAATATAACTTATTTGAATTTGCCTTGCTTACAACAACTTATTATTTTAATTACAATTATTGTAATCACATGAAATATTAGTTGATTAGATAATATTTGACATACAGGTGCTGCTTATGCCTTCCCCTTACTGTAGTACCCCCACCCCACGAAATAGACGTGAAACCATTAGACCCTGATTAATCTGATTAATGAATGATTGCAAACTGTATTTACATTTGACTGACTCTGTGCTCACAATCATTGAAAGGTTTGACAGTTTAGTGTGTTTTGAATGAATGAAACCATTTAATGATAACTCAATGAATACAAGTAGTGATGAAATATTGCAATGATTTGATTGATTGAACCAAACCTACAATAGTGTCGTAACTCTATGTATGAGCCGCTTATAAGGGCCGTCAGGTCTGACCTAATATTTGCATAATTAGTGATAAAAAGACTATTTATTTATAATAACGTATTGTTTGTCTGAAAGGATTTTGAAATTCATGTCTTTATAACGGACTAAGTCTTGATTGCGAAACACTTCCAGGTCTTTATGTAGTTGTCTGAACACTGGTGTGAATGGCTTAATGTTGGCAATTGTGGCCAATTTGTCGGAGTAGTCGATGAATAGGTTGGCCACCATCTTATGGAAGTGTCTTTCACTCAAACCCATTGACTTCCTAAGAGACATGTCTTGTTGTGTATCCCTTTCCATCTCTTCAATTGATGGCAACACTAGTTCTCCGGTCAGGGATTTCATGAATAATAAGACCTATTAATGAATGATTGAATCAATGATGTGTTAGTATTGTCTGAATATAATTGAAAGTATGGTTTGTGTTGAAGACCTGTTGGTGATAGAGAGGGAAGGGAATGACTTTCATAGCGATGGCCCAAATAGCCATCGAGGGGTAGGTCTGGTTAATGAGATGCAGATAAATGCCTTCAACTCTGCCATTGCTGTTGACATTTATGGCACAACTTTTGTCCAGAAATGAGAAGTCGAAGTGATATCCGGTCGCCAATACTATTGAATCCATTTCCAAATGAGTGCCGCCTTTCAACTCAACTCCCGTTTCAGTTATGCTTTGGATTTCATTTAATTCTTGTTTAATATTTTGTGGTAAATTCACAAACGGTTTACTATTTCTGTGACAAAACACCACTTGTTTGGCCACTTGTGACACTTCGATGGAGATGTCAATACCAGAGGGTCCGCCGCCCAACACCAACACTGTCTGATCCTTGAACTCATCAGCAACTCTATAGTCATGAGTGTGTAATACATTTCCTTTGAATGTTTGTAATCCTTTTAAATCTTTGGGAACATATGGTATGGAATATCTTCCATTGCATACAAATACAGAATCATAGATGTATTCATTTGTTTCATCTGTTGTTATATTTTTAACCATCACTTTCCACGCGCTTTCATATCTCGAAACTCTTATTATCTGATGACTGAACTGTATTTTGAAACAATTATGTGAATCATAAACTAGTGTTAGATTTCATGCTAATCGTAAGCATTGTTTCTCACTTTTATGTATTTAAATAAATTGAAATGTTTTGCATAGTCTTCGAGGTATTGAAGGACTTGAGTGTGAGATACAAACGATGTGTCACTCGTTGAGGGAAAGTCTTGAAACTCCATTATTTCCATCGGAAGATTAGTCCTGTTCATTACATTTAGTTTAGTATAAAGTGATAATTTGTGTTCAAAAATGATGCCATACCTCATATGCTTATACATACTGGTGTGAATGGGTAGTCCATTATCATCGAAACCCACAGAATCGGTGTAATTCCAAACGCCTCCCACTTTGCATGTCTTCTCGTAGACATCAAACACGAAGAGTGACTCGTATTGTGACAGATGTCTGGCGGCACAGAGTCCGGCCGCACCCGCGCCTATCACACAGACCCTCGTTCTCTGACACTTCTTGTCTGACATCTTATGCATTGAGTTCAAGAAAATTCAATTCACTTTTGCTATATTTCGTGAAACAGTAATCAATTTTGCAAACTTTACACGCTTTTAAATAACATTAGTTTTCTTTTAAAGTTTAATATAAAACAGATTTTTATCGATTACTTTATCACAAATAATTGATTGCAAAATTGGCTCTAAATGAAGGACACCCTCTTATTATAGCGTTCAGTGTATTTATATTAGTAATAAATTATTGATGGATAATATCAGTTTATATTTTACTGTATAATAATTTACAAAAACTAGTTTTATTTAAATTGTTAGTCACTGTATTTATATTTAAAACATATTCTACAGTATAAAGTGTATACTATAAACTATTAACATTACAAATCTTTAAAATGCTAATTAATGGTGACATGAATTTCAATTCATGTCTTATTGTGCTAATAGATTTATTATTAAACATACGTTTAATTACTCACAATAATAAGTATTCAAGTATTTAGGAAATATGATTTTAATTCATTTTCTATTACTGTGTAAACATTTGGTTTCCGGTAAACATTTTAAAAGACATACTTTAGCTTTCAACCACTTTTTAATCATTTTTACACTTTAGCCTTAAATTCCTGTTTAAAACTAATAATGACTAGATTAGTGTGCTATTTATGAATTGTTTAAAAAGTAAGTCTAAATGACTTTATATTCAAGTGTATATTCAAACCTGTTTATATGATAGATTATTTTTAAAGCTAAAAAATTCTAGAAAACATTGTTTTATATACTGGTAAATAGAGTACATGGCTGAATTTGTCTAATTACGGTAATTAATAGTAGAATGATGTGAAAATTGTTTCAATTTGGGCTTAAGTCTTACGCTAAACATTAAGAGATCATATGATAGGACATACATATCTTTTATGTAACTTTTAAATACGACTTTTAGAGATAAACTAATTTATAAATTGTTTTAAATATTGTTTTAAGATGTTTCCAATATGCTACATAAAATTCACGTTTCAATTGATTGTTTTATAAATTTAAACGATTTTTGCAGTGATTGCTTCAGTAATATATCGAAATGTCAAACAAAGATTTAAAATGTGGTCTTTATGTGGATCACACCGGAGACCTGTCATCTGCCATACAAAACGCAACAAACGGCGGGTATAGTACAGTATATCATGATTTGAACATATCATTTGAATTATTGTGATTGAGTTATTACTTTATTTGATTTCAGGTATAACTTTATAGCAACCAATTTAGTGAATCCGAGGTCTAATGTCTTCACACCACACAGTGATCTCCTGCTCTCGAGTGCAGGTATAGTAAAGATATAAATAATATTTAGCTTTAATTTGCAAAACAACTGTCCTATAGATTGGAGTACTCTTGTGGTCGGAATGATCACTAGCTTTGATCTCGAGAGCAAAGTATTGGAAAATTCAGTGAAAATGGAGTCTGAGATCACATATGCGGTGCACTTGGGTCTGCCGGCCCTTCTCTTCCAGTGCCCGACATCTGTGTCAGCGGTCTCTCAATTGTCGCGAATAATCAATTCAAAGCTCACATTTTCGGGAGGCTTTCAGAATTTGCCTCAATTTTGGATTCAAATTCCCATTCATTCTCCGCTCGAAAGTTGTGCCGTTTGGAGGAATGACTGCCAAGACATCCCTTCAGAGGACACGTGGTTTCGATGGCATCGACTACGAAGTCATATGGCTGTCGATAAGAGACTGTCGATTGCACTCGAACTGAACGGCGATTTACCGGATGAGGCACTTCTGAACCGTTGGACTGGAGAGCCCATCAAAGCAGTGATTCTGTCGACCTCTATATTCCAGACCAATCGCAAAGACTATCCCGTCTTAACCAAAGCGCACCAAATGTTTATTCGCAACTTAATGAACAAAATGTCAAATGATATCCATTTCATAATCAAAGGACATAACAGACACACAGATATGAGACATTACATCCAGTATTTGGAGCACATTCGCAACACTCAGTTACCCAACGATCCGGTCGCCAAGTTTGCCAAAGGATACGAAGACTTCCTCCAAATACCACTTCAAGTATTTACCAATTATTTGCTATTTTATTAGATATATTGTATTTATATATTTGGATGTGTCTGATGTGATAGCCATTGATGGATAACTTGGAATCGTGTACTTATGAAGTGTTTGAAAAGGATCCCATCAAGTATGAGGAGTACGGAAAGGTAGACACTCTTTGACACATTTGTACTCTTACGGTATTACCGGTATAACTGTAAATGTTTTTTGATTTAAAGGCTATCAACGAAGCGCTCAAAGATTTGGACACAAAAGATGAAATGTTTGTATATTTGAATGATTATTATTAGTTTAATGGACTAATGCTTAGTAATTGATAGCATAATAATGGTTGTGGGGGCCGGGAGGGGACCGTTAGTCCAGGCGAGCATCAATGCCTCAGAAATTGTCAAAAAACGCGTTCATATATTCGCTGTGGAGAAGAACCCGAACGCTGTCGTCACTCTACAAACACTTCGAGAGCAGCGGTGGGGCGGAGATAAAGGCACCGAATTTGCGAAGATTGATGTGATTGCCTGTGATATGAGGGACTGGGAGGCGCCTGAAAAGGCAGATATAGTCATATCAGAACTCTTAGGCTCTTTTGGAGACAACGAATTAAGTCCCGAGTGTTTAGACGGCGTCTGGTCTTATGTGAAGGAAACGGCGATTTCAATCCCGTCCTCTTATACCTCATATTTGGCGCCAATTCAGTCGCAAAGACTCTATTGCGAGGCCTCACAGCTCAGGGAAAAGGATAAGCCGTCGTATAGTGTGTTTGAGACGGGATATGTGGTGTATATGAGGAATTTCTACGGCATCGATGCGCCCCAACCTCTGTTCACTTTCACTCACAACGATCTCTCCCTAAAGCCTTCCCAACGAAACAACTCTCGATTCAAATCACTTGATTTCGTGGCCAAAGTGGACACCGTTTGTCACGGATTCGCCGGTTATTTCGAGGCAACGCTTTACAAAGGCATCAAACTATCCACTGTTCCCACGACTCATACGACAGGAATGTTCAGTTGGTTCCCCATATACTTCCCACTCCACAGCCCTCTCTTCATCAAAGCCGAGGACACCCTAAAAGTGGACTTTTGGAGACTCACTAATCGGCGTCAGATTTGGTACGAGTGGCTCATCTCACAGCCGGTGCCCACCTCTGTCCACAACCCAAACGGGCGCACCTACTCTATCGGCTTATTGTAGTATTTGTGTCACTCTATCGGATCATTGTCTCAACATTTGGCTACAATTGCTTTCATTTCTTAAAGCATCAATAAATCCTAAACAAACTTTTAGTTTAATATTATTTAAGAGCATTTAAACACTGAACTCAACATTTTAAATATGAAACTTAATTTATGAAATGTTTGCCAATCAATGTGTGTTTTATAATACAAATTTTAAATACAAATAAAATACTGAACTTTTATGAACGAATGGCATTTAAATGTGAATTAAAGGGACTTTACTATGAAATGCGGACAACCATTGGCTATAACTTGTAAACCATATGACGTCAACAGTAAGTGTTGTTTACAGTGTGTCAGTGAATGCATTGAATGAATGAATGCAGTAACCAGTGGTTGGCGTTCACAGCACTGAAGTTCAAGTCTTGAACCCTATCTCACAATTGTCTCATTGATTGCAAGTCGATGTCAATTAATAGACACTTGATTTCAGTGCACGAACAGTGATCCAGTGATGTCTGAGTTGCGATTTGACGGCAGAGTTGCTGTGGTGACCGGTGCTGCCAGAGGTGAGCCCATACGACCACTGATGACCATTTGATGATCACTGCCAACCACTCACGAGTTATGTCTGTTGATAGGTTTGGGTCGAGAATATGCACTCTTATTGTCATCGCGTGGGGCGGCCCTCGTCAGTGAGTACATGATATTACATGCAATACAAGCACTCAATTAACCATCAATTCACATATTCACACGAGTTATACTGGATCAGTTATAGTCTACTAAGTTTATTAGTAGCTTGATCATATTCAATAGATAGTATAATTGACTGCTAACAAACAAACAATAATTATTACAATTAAAAATAGTTGTGTAATGTTTTGTGTGTTAGTGTGTATGGCATATGTACAGTACATTAAGTTACCCTACTGTATGTCCCCTGAGTGCCAAACTTACTGTATTGTAGGTCTAATTGTTGAAAGTTAGCAATACTTTGCTATATTTATCAAATTGCTCAATTTACTGTTAATGTGCTTTTAATGAACTCAGATGTTATTAAAAGTTTGTTTTTATTATTGTTATCAACAAATCACTGATTTGTATGAAAGTATCCAAAGTTTGATTCATTCTTACAATCATTGATCCGATGTTTTCCTCAATCAGACAAACATTAAATAAATGTGATTATTAGCATAAAAACATTTCCAAGTCTTTTATGAGAAAAAATCCCAAATTTTGAGTTTAAAGTCATTTTCACATTACTATTATACTAATTGAAACTTTTATGTTCACTACAATTTTTATAGTTCTTACAATTTCTATGGATTAATACTTTTAACTCAAAAACTTATGAAAAGATGTAAATTATGGCCACTTTTGATATTTTTTAGTACTTATATATAATTATCATATAATTAACTTATTTACGATTACATGGATTGCCTTAGAGATGAAAATCTATAGCTATTAATGGATTAGAATTCAATTCTTGATAGTATTACATAATAGTGTATAGTGTACTACATAATGAACTATTTGAAAGTTAGTCTAAAAATAATGAAAACCTGTTATTTGTATGTATTTGACATTTAAGTGCTATTTTCTCAGTGAGTATAATGAATGCTAGAGATCTATCTATGAGAGCATTTACCTGCCATTCCTTAAATCAACTAAACATAGATTGAAACTATGATCGCATAACAGTATAACAGTGTTGTCGTGTCAGGTCATCCATACAGTAATAGAGATCTGTTGGCTTCTGACTCCCAATTATAATTGTTTGCATTCAATCAGTCAATAACGCAAATCAAGTGAAAACTTTTCATACAATTTAGTTAATGATTTGGGCGGTAATCGCAGTGGAGACGGCAATAGTACTTCAGCTGCTGATGATGTCGTCAATGAGATTAGAAGTAAAGGCGGAAAAGCTGTCGCAGATTATAGTAAATATTTAATATTATAGTCATTTGTATTCATTTCATCATTTAATGACCACTTCTTTAAAAGACTCCGTAGAAGACGGCGAGAAAATCATTAAAACTGCGATCGACTCTTTCGGACGAATTGGTCAGTCTCTCTCTCTCTCTCTCTCTCTCTCTCTCATAAAAAATAATAAATAATTGAAAACTTGATTGAATGTCAGATATTGTGATAAATAACGCGGGAATACTTCGCGACAAATCCTTCGCAAAGCTTTCAGACCAGGATTGGGGTATTGTTTGCAATGTTATGATAACTTATTACAAATTAAGTTGTATTAAACGACTCCATATTAATAAAGATTTGGTACATCGGGTCCATTTGAGAGGCGCTTGTATGGTGACCAGAGCTGCCTGGCCTTACTTCCAGAAGCAAAAATACGGCCGGTTTGTTGTTTTTATAAATTTATTATTTTATCTTTACTTACTGTACAGTATATGCACTCATATTAAGCATAAAACGATTTTTATTCTTGAGGTAATAGTGTTTTGAAATTTATTTCTGTTTTTAAAATGTTATGAAATCAATATTTTCATGAATATTATAATAAAAATGAAGTAAAAGTGAATAATTATATGGATGTGAAGAAACAACAGTTATGTTTAAATTGCAAAAAATTATTTTGAATGAAATTTATAAATTATCAGTTTTCCTATTGTTTCGGGAAAAACCTCTAAACCTATTCTTATGACAAATCAGTCTCATATACAGTACTGTAATTTGACAGAATCATTATGACTACATCCCCGGCTGGCATTTATGGTAACTTTGGACAAACAAATTATAGTTCCGGTAATTTTATTTAATTTTGATTTATGATTAATATGCTATTATATACTAAAGAATCTAATTGTATGGATGTATAGCAAAACTCGGTTTAGTGGGTTTGAGCAATACATTAGCTGTTGAGGGGGCCAAGTATAACATAAAGTGCAATTCTATAGCACCTGTCGCTGCGTCCAGACTTACTGAAGATATATTTCCCGAAAGTATGACTTTGTTTTCGCAATTAATTGAAATGACATTTAATATATTTTTAATCTCTAAGATTTTATGGAGTACTTTAAGCCTTCATATGTGGCTCCAGTAGTGGTTTGGTTGTCGCACGAATCCTGTCCCGAAACGGGAGGTGTTTTCGAAACGGCTGGCGGTTATGTCGGCAAATATCGTTGGCAGCGATCAAAGGGTAAAATGTTTTCCCCGCCAAACACATTGACTCCCGAAGCCATCCGTGACTTTTGGCCTCAAATAACAGATATGAATCAATTCAATAGTTTTAATTCATTTCAAGGTATTTAAAACTTATTTCAATCTTATTTTTAAAACATATTTAATTGCAATTTATAAACAATTAGAGCACACTTTAAATCTTGTGAACACAATCAAAGATTTGAGTGAAAACAATGAGGTCTCAGAAGTGTCGACAAATTCTGTGACCCATCACTACACCATTGATGATACTATTCTCTATGCACTCTCTGGTAATTATTTATAATGCAATCAAAATGCTAGTAAATTCATTATATTGCTTGCTATTGATTATCAGTCGGTGTTTCTACCCGTGAATCAAAACATCTGAATTTTCTCTATGAATGTAATGAAGAATATTCAGTGATTCCTAGTTATGGAGCTGTAATAGGTTTGAATGCAATGGCAGAGAGCGCTATAATACACGACGCGATGACTGCTTATAAAATTAGAGGCGATATGACTAAAGTATTAATTCATTTCATTTTATGTGCCGTATATCGCAAACATTTATTAATTTGCTTTAATTTGCATGAAAAGGTTATACACGGCGAGCATTATTTAGAAGTGGTTAAACCCATCCCTCCCTCTGCCACTCTTACATCAAAACCTAAAATCGTTGACGTATTAGACAAGGGTTCCGGTGCTCTGTTCATAATAGGAGGTATTCATTAATTTGGTGGTTATTAGTTTTCCAATAGTAAATGATTTATATAAACAATTAGTGGAGACATTTGATGAAAACCAATCGCTTATATTCTACAACCAAATGGCCCTGTTTATGGTGGGCGCCGGTAACTTTGGCGGCAAAAGAACCAGTCCTGACACCAGTATTAAGCCATTAGTAGAGGCGCCTAAAAGAGATCCTGATGCGATTGTTTTGGAAAAAACTTCCTTCGATCAGGTTTTTTAAATGATTACATTTATCACTAAAATTAGAATTTTATTAAAAATTTAACGCAAAACTATATATTAATTATAAAAAGGCGGCTATTTATCGTCTTTGTGGTGACAAAAATCCTCTACATATCGATCCCT